ATTGAAAGGAGATAGGGGAAGACGGCTCTTTGATTCACTGCCTCTGGGCCCCTACTGCAGGATAAGCTACAGAGAAAGAACAATGCTGACCAAGGAGAGCCCGTGGAGAAAGAAGAACAGGCCTATGACCTGTCAGGTCCTCCACAAATCCTCTGCACGGGCAGGTTACAGACAATGCCTTCCCTGAGCTCTGTCAACACCACCTGCCTTCACTGAGGAGGCTGTTGTCTCAGTCTGCCAAGTGGCTTTTACGTCATACTGAACACAACAAAAACCTTTACAATTGAAAGGTTTGTACAAATTTTACAAATGACAGAGGGGGGAAATATCTACCTTCTTTCCCACATGCACCAGCCATGTGCAGCTACTTTTAAATGATAATTAATTAAAATGAAATAAAAGTCATCTCCTATGTCATATTAACCACATCTGAAGTTCTTGGCAGCTATGTGTGACTAGTGGCTGCTGCATAGTTAGCATAAAGATGGAAGGATGGCTAACTTGGGAATGGTGTTATCACAAGCTGGAGAAAACTTGCCACCTCAAGGTTCTTTTTAGGATGGTAACATCATCAGACTCGAATTTCAGAAAAAAAACAAAACAATAACAACAAACAACCTCTATGACTGCAAAGAAATGACTGTTGGGGACAAAAGCTCAATGAAATGGTAAATGGGGCCACAGCCTGATTCACTGTGAATATGCTTAACTAGCGAAAGCAAGCTAGAATGTCTGCACAGCTTGCTAGTAAGAACAGTGACACATCTCCGGGCAGGCACAGTATCTAAGCTGGATAAGATGGGTTCAGCACCTCTATAGGATCTTCCTGGGGTGCAAGGCGGAAGACCAGTACAAGCACCTGAGAGCAGCAGGCCCGGGGCACCTCCTTGGGGGAGACAAGAGAAAAGCCAATAAAAAGCCAATAAAAAGAGCATGTGGAAAGTGTTGGGGGTAGGGGCTAGGGACGTAGCTCAGTTTGCAGAGGAGCCACACAATACATACGAAGCCCTAGGTTCATACACCAGCATGGAAGTGTGTGACTGTAATCTCAGGATCTGGGCGGTGCAGGCAGGAGGATCAGAAGTTTAGTATCACCCCCAGCTATGGAGTTTGAGGCCAGCTTGGGTTACATGAGACTATCTCAAAAAACCAAACCAACCAATGAATGAAAAAGAAACCAGAGTGGGGTGGGGAGGGAGGGGGAGAGAAAGATCATGCATGTATTAGAGAAAGGCAAAGACAGAATGTCCAGTAAGAATGGGAGGAGTGAGAGAAAACTGTGTAGCTTCCACTGATCATGTGTTGGACCTCAGTATTTGCTGCCCTTTGTTGGTAGATGGAAGAATTGGGTATTAAGAACACTATGGGGTCCCATAGGCACCTCTAAGTCAGCATAAGCTTGCTGGCTTCTTGCCCAAGTTTCCCTCCTGTGTTTGACCAAAGTTACCTTAATGAAAGCCAGGAAGGAACCCAGAACATTATCTTTCCTCTTCCTCAGCCGCCCAACACACAAAATCTCGAGAGCCTGCCATTTGTGCCCACCATCCTGGAGCCTCCCAGCTTGAATTTAACAATGAGAGGTATTCCACCCCAGTTCTTTCCACACTGCTGTGCCGCCATGACCCGTTCAGACTCGACATGGGCCTCAATCCAACAAGAGGACGGACCTGTTATTATCCCCTGTCAGCTGCAAGTTTTCAAATTTATGTTTGCAACTATCTGTCTGAAAATATTAAAGTTTTCTGTTCATACCAGTGTGAGTCAGAATTGGTAAAAAGTCCACCTTAAATCTTAAACGGAAATGGGATCTTAATCCTAACCCAGAAGAGGCTGAAAACTGGCGAACAGCCCAGGCCGGGGATGGCTTTGGGCACCTGCCAACACTGAGGCCCTGCAGTTTCTTCCGATAATGTGTTAATTTTTAATTACTATGCTTTTCTGTCTTTCCAAAGAAGACTGAAGAAAAAAACATAATTCCTGTGTTGACTTGGAGGGCTTTTCATGAAGAATGCAAACCAGCCAGTTGTTTCCTAAAACCCTCACTAATTCTTGCTTTTTTTCTTTTCTTTTTCTTTCTTTCTTCTTATTCTTTTGTGTGTGTGTGTGTGTGTGTGTGTGTGTGTGGTTTTGTTTGTTTGTTCATTTGTTTTTTAAGACAGGGTTTCTCTGTGTAGCCTGGGCTGTCCTAGAACTTGCTCTGTAGACCAGGCTGGCCTTGAACTCACAAAGATCTGCCTTCCTGGCCTCTGCCTCCTGAGTGCTGGGTGTGCACCCAGGTTAAAGTATTTTGACTAGTATATTATTTTTGACAACTCTAGCCCAAGCCATTCACATATGTATCACCCACTAAAAAAGGTAGTTGAGGCTTTTGCTCTGTTGAAAGAGTGTGTGCCCGGCATACATTAGGCCCTGGTTTTGCTCTCCAGAACCACAAGGCAGGTGTGGCAGCGCAGTCACTCAAAAGGTGGATCAAGGCCATCCCGGGATACATGAAACTTTATCTCAAAAAAAGTAAATCAATTAATTTAAAAAAAAAGGGGGGGATGGAAACCAAGTTGCTTAAAATGTCCTCCCATTTTTTTTTTTTAACTATAGTACACATTTCTTGTCTGTGATTTCTACTTTGTGCTGAGTCCTACAAGACCCTGCTTATTTCTGGAGAGTAGCACCACCCCTCTGAGGCCTTGCACCTCAGCAGCACGAGTTCATGCTGGGAAGATATGCTGGGCACCTGGCTTTCACTCAAGAGCAGGAACATCATGTGCTGAGCCTTGGGGAAGTAAACATACTATCTGCAATTTAGACTCTTCAGTTACTGGAGCCATGAAAAGCCACACGTATGGACTATTACGATCCATGTGACATCTCACAATCTCCTGCTGGACATACATGAAATCTCCCAGGATTCTATGTATAGAGCACAACATCAGGGTGGGGCATCTTGTGCCCAGGTGGCTTTTCTTGAGCTGAGCTTCTCCAAACTGCATACCACTGTTGGTTGCCATGGATACACTGTGATATCTGCTCTAGGACTGACTAATTTTACACAGATCAAGGTGCCAGCTGAAATGCTGACTTCATAGTAAAGTGTTAATCTGGAAAATATACTCCTGTCTGAACCAGCTCTAAAAACTGACAGATATAATTTTAGGACTGACACCGGGAGCTGGGTCTTGGGTGTAGTACAGCAAGCGTAAGGTTTGCCTGTGAACGTGGCTGTGGCTAACAGGGGTGCAGAGTCCCTCCTGCCAATCTTCCCAAGCAATAAAACACTGGCAGGAGGACAGTGTCTGCTGGCCTCTTGCACCTACACTCACCCGGGGTCATCTTATCCTGGCACCCCTAACACTCTGAGCCCTCATGTACAATATGCTATCCGAAGAGCTCAGAGTAAGCTAACCCCTACTTAATAGGCAATGCTACTCAAGCTAATGTAAGTTTCTAAGCTCCATTCTTCCAATAATCTGCCCTGTTTTCTAGTTTTGAAGTGACAACATCCTCAATGGAGAAGTATAGTTAAATGTTATGGGTTTTAACACACACACCACACACACACACACACACACACACACACACACACACACACACACACACATATATGCTGAGGACAGGGCAGGTCCTTGGGGACATCATTTGTAACCCATTCTCTGTCTTTCTCACCGGGTCTCTTACTCTAATGACCTCGAAAATAATAAAGGCACTATTAAATCCTCACATTAACCTCACAATGTAGACGTCATCATTGTCCCCACAGATTAAAGAACTGATGAAACATGTCTAAAGTCAGGCGAGCACCAGCTCCAAACTGCAGCCTGATTAAAAAACCTGTGCCCCAGCGCCCTGCACCACTGACTGACTACTCGGCTCTGCTTCCTGCTGGAAGTGCCCCAGGGAGGCAGTGGGCAGCTCTTACCTGGTCCGGGTCCTGGGTCTCCACACACATAGAGCTGTCTCACCAGGTCACACTGACTTACTCAGTCTCTAAGTCCTCTTTCTAGAGTAGCCCTGCAGCCCACTCCTCAGCTTCCTGCTAAGGTTATTCTCCAAATTGGTTTGATGACAAGAAATACCTGGAGAACTTGTTAAACACACAGTCTCCAATCCTATTCTTGGAGATTCTGATTCATTGAGTCTGACGTGGCCCCAGAAATGTGTATTTTTAATAAGTGCCCCAGGGGACCCTTCTCTTGTGCAGGTTTGAGAAATGCTGCTCTGGGAGTCTGAGCCGATGGGAACAAGCACTGCTGCCTTCAGGATCATACGTTGAGTCCAATTATTACTAGGAAGATCCCATTTCTATAGCTGCACTAATCCAGAGTGTTCAGCACATATGGCACAAAGTGGTTCTGGTTTTTTCCGGGGGGGATGGGATGTCATGCTGGGTGAACTGGAATGTCTGTGATTTTTTTTTTTTCTTCCTTTTCAAGTGATGACTGTTGAAAGAATTCTTTAATGGCCGTGCCCTTGCCCGAGAGGGAGTTTCTGTATTGCTCTGGTCATAGAACAGCTTAAATCAAATAGGAAGTATGCCATTCAATATAATTCTTTTAAGTCTGCCTATGGAAAATTTTGAACAAGAGAAAATTAAATAAAAAAGAGAAAGGAGTTTAAAGTTTTCATTCCTTGAAGGACCCTAAAGCAAATTCTTTATATAACGAAGACTGAAGGTCTTGGGCCTCTTCTGCTTAAGTACCTATGAACCCTATACAGAACAAATTAGAATACTTTATAAGAGATTAATCCAGACTGTAATCAGAAGCAGAAATTATCTTTGATATTAAAAATCAAATGCAAAATTGTTGAAACTTATGATTATTAAATCGTGCTTAATGTTAGTAAAGATCTCAAACATGCCTGATCTACTCTGACACGGTTTGCTGCCTGTCACAAGGGCACATCCACTTAGAGCACTAGTCAGAGCTGAACGTCAACAGCTGTATTAGGATCATCACATCAACGACAGAAAGCTGCCCCAGCTTCGGGGTACAAGGCATACCTACCTCTTGGTGGGAGTGGGCACTCCGGAGGACATGTGGCTAACCACGGTGTCATTCATATTGGTCAGAGGTCGAGGAGGACTGGAAGAAAAGACATTTACATTACATTAGTAATTACCAGGACTGGAGGAGACAAAGAGTTCAGGCAAAAGACCAGCTAGAGCTCCTGGTAAGTGCAGGGCCTGATGGCGGAGGATTCAGAAAAGAGATTCTTTAAGCCGAAACAAATTCAACATAAGGGATTCTTACACACACCACAGCACCACAGAGCTGTGGGATAGTGGGAGGCAACAGATTATAAAAGCATTACTCTGGAGAAGAGTATATTTGCACATCCTGGAATTCCAGTACTCAGAAAGCTGAGTTTCAGGCCAGTCTGGGCCATCAATGGACTATCTCATGATAGTAAAAAAAAAAAAAAAGAAAAAAAAAGAAAAAAAACCTATTTTGAGATGGAACTGTTTGCTCCTACTTTATAGTTTTGGTATAAAATAATATAAATTCATACCCTTGCCTACTGTGCCTATTCTTTTGGGGGTGGGAGTGGTTTACTGGGAATTAAACGCAGTGCCTTGCACATATGAGGCAAGTGCCTTACCTCTAAGCTATAATCCCATCCTGACTTTGTTTTCTGAGAAACAGTCTCATTATTGAGCTCAGGCTGGCCTCAAAATGGAAATCCTTCCACCTCAGCAGCCTGAATGGCTGAAATATGCCACTAAGCCCAGCTTGTGCCACTTATTTTTCATTAATCTGCTTTTAACTCAGCTTTAAAAATTTTGTGTGTGTGTGTGTGTGTGTGTGTGTGTGTGTGTGTGTGTGTGTGTGTGTGTTATGGGCATGGGCATGGTATCTCTACCCACTGAGCCACCTTTAAGGACAGGTCGCAATACATGCCAGTTTCCTGAGATTCAGTTAGTTACAGCTCATTGTTCTGTTACATTTAATTTGTGAGTGTTTTATTAAAACATTAATTGTTTTTTCTTCCTGAAACAGATGTCATGTAGCCCAGGCTGGCAACAAACTTGCTAGGTTGCCTAGGATGACTCTGACCTCCTGCCCTTACACAATAAGTGCTGGGATTACAAAGTGTGCCTCCACACCAGAATCCCAAGTATTTGATTTTTAAATACTAAATAAAAAAACAAGACCCTGCTCATCCAGTATTATAAACCTGGCCAGGGGGATCATAGGTCATGTGGGGAACCCATTCCTTCTGCTTTGCTACGTGGACACGGTGACAAACTGCCTTCTTAAATACATCTATACCTAGAGACCGGTGGGGCCCTCGCCATTGTCAGAGAAGCTTCCGTTGGCAATGGGCAGAAGAGAAAGGAAACTCATAACCGGTCACAGTACCGAGAATAAGTGACTGTTGAGTGCCGGCCCCTGAATGGACATCTGTAGAACCCCGAGAGAGAGAGAGAGAGAGAGAGAGAGAGAGAGAGAGAGAGAGAGGATGCACGTAAGAGCCAGCGGATGAGGAAGAGTGCCGAGAAACAGTCTTCTGCACACCTCGACACGACATGGCTGGGTCACTCATGAAACTACCGCTGTCATTACCTGAACAAGACCGGCACAGAATGAGGCCCGTCAGCACTTTCTCGTGGGTGGGAGAGGGGCTCATGAGGTGCTACTGTTATTCTTAACGGCTGTTAGGGATAGCAGTGTCACTGTCTTCGGCAGTGTGGCCACTGCTAAGCTGTCCTCGTCCCAGTAAGAAAGGCTTGCTTAGCTGCTGCGTCCTCCCTGCCTCTGAGAGTGACTGCGTACAAACGGCTTGAGGAAGTTACCTTAGCACTGCCTGCTGACGACCATGGTACTTTATTGTTTCGCAGGCTACACCATTCCTTCATGTAAGGCTCTGGGGAATTGGTTCAGGGAGAGACCGAGGGGCCAAAGGAAAAGACAGATTGCTCTCTATACACACATGTACCTCCACTTTCTCCTTAAACTAATTCCATTTCTGAGTAGGAAACTTTAAAAAATAAAAAAAAAAAATAAAAAAGATTTTTCCATTTACAAAAGGAAATCCAAAATGGAAAGTGAATTGCACGGAGTAGATATAAGGCAGATTCAGGCCTCTGGATTTCTAAAAAGAAATCAAAAAACACCAAAAGGTGTTTTGTTTTTAAGGGCAGGATCTCAGCAACAGCCCAAGTTAGGTCCTTGCTTCACCCTTCCAGGTGCTTTGATAAAAGGCCTGAGCCACAGTGCTTCACTTGACTCTGCTCGCCAATGGAAATATGCCTTGCCAGGCCAGATCTCAGTTCTATGCTATTCATCTGACTTCCAGTCTCCAGAAAACCTCTGGCCCTTCAAGCCTGTTAATGCTAATGGCTGCACTGAATTATAATCAATTAATCAATTGCTTTAGGTTGACTAATGGTGGAAGAGAATGGGCAGATTGGCTTACTTTTAGTCCTAAATTTATACTATTGCCTCTGGGTCTTTTAAATTAGTTGTCCTGCTTGAAACAAGGAGATAATTCCTCTGAAGTAAGAGGAGTAGCTGTTCACACTTGGAGGGCAGCAGACGCATGCCGGTCAGACACAAACAGGCTTCGCTTCCTGGTGTATTATTAACATCCACTTCCAAAATAATGACACTCCATGTTGCTTTTAGAACTAATGTAGTTATCTGCTTTACTTCAATATTAAAGAAACCACTGCATTCATTTTCTTGTTGACATTCTCAGAAGAACTAAATACAGTCGAAAAAAATTAATTTCTTGAACATGGGTACCTGTGAGGAAAATGTCATGGTCTGTAGCATTGTTTGGTATGATGCCACAAAAGTCTTCCTATCTCTTGGCAGATACCACAGCCAACCATTTATTACCTTTTCACATGCAGAAAAGCCTCTTCCTTCACGTGGAGAGCAGATGCTCATGGTTACACTGTATTCTGGAAACTTCTCATACCCTGCTCCCAAGTCCACATCCTGTCTAGACTCCTACCTCATAATAAAGAGACAATGTGGCTTTACTGATCAATGAACTTATTAGCACTTGCAAGCCTCAAGAAGGTCCTCAAAATGGGATCGCCACCAGAGCTGCAGGCCACTGGGAAAGCCAACAGCACTGAAGTATTCTTTTTTTTTTTTTTTAATTTATCACAATTTATTTACTTTGTATCTCCTCTGCAGCCCCCTCCTTTGACTCATCCCAGTTCTACCCTCCCACTTTTCCCCCCATGCCCTTTCTCTAGTGCCCTGATAGGGGAGGACCTCCTCCCCTTCTATGTGATCCTAGCTTATCAGGTCTCATCAAGGCTGGCTGCATCATCTTCCTCGGTGGCCTAGCAAGGCTGCACCCCCAGGGGGAGGTGATCAGAGAGCTAACCTCTGAGTTCATGTCAGAGACAGCCCATGTACTCTTACCAGGGAACCTACCTGGAAACTGAGCAGCCTATGGGCTTGTTTGAACAGGGAGTCTAGGTCCTCTCCTTGCATGGTCCTTGGTTGAGTGTCGGTCTCTGCAGGACCCTCTGGGCCCAGGTATTTTGGTTCTGTTGTTCTCCTTGTGATGTTCTTGTCCCCTCCAGGTCCTTCCATCTCCCTCTTCTTCCATAAGGATTCTGGCACTCTGCCCAAAGTTTGGCCACGAGTCTCAGTATCTCCTTTAATACCCTTGTGGGTAGAGTCTTTCAGAGGTCCTCTGTGGAAGGCTCCTGCCCTGTTCCCTGTCCTCTCCTACTTCCAATGTCTATCCCATTTGCCCTTCTGAATGAGGATTAAGTATCTTTCCCTAGGGTCCTCCTTGTTGTATAGCTTCTTTAGGGCTATAGATTTTAGTATGTTTATCCTATATTATAAGCTAATATCCACTTATAAGTGAGTATATACCATGTGTGTCTTTCTGCTTCTCACTTTACCTCACTCAGGACGATCTTTTTTAGTTCCCACCATTTGTCTGCAAATTTCATGATTTCCTTATTTTTAGTTGCTGAGTAGTATTCCATTGTGTAAATGTACCACAATTTCTGTATCCATTCCTCCACTGAGGAACATCTAGGTTGTTTCCAGATTCTGGCTATTATGAATAGAGCTGCTACGAACATGGTTGAACAAATGTCCTTATTAGAGCAATAAGACATCTAAAGGAGATCAAAGGGAAGCATTCTTAGAAAATGCCTTTTGGAATGCCTTTTGAGGCTGGGTACATGCCTGTAATCCTAGCACTCTGGGAGGTAGAATCAGGCAGATCTCCATGAATTCAAGGCCAGCCTTGTCTACAAAGCAGATTTTAGTTACAGACATTAAACTAACAGTCCCACAACTCTCTACCTAGGCAGCCAGCTTCCAGACGCACACTTCTGCATCTTTAACAGATTTTCTGGTCTATTTGCTTCTGTTAGTGTGAAAGGGTATCCAAACTCAGATACTTATACTTGCAGAGCAAACACAAGCCTCTGAATCATCAGCCCAAGCCCCAGCACAAGACTCTTTTCTTTTACTTAGTCATTATCCTCACAAATTTACAAACCTATTCCTTAATCTCACAAGTGGAAATACCATAGCTATCATTACCATAGAGAGAACTCTATTGCTGTGGTGAAAAATTAAGATAGGCAGAGCCTAAAGTTCTTCTCATTGCTATGGCTATCATTTGCTCACAAAATGCTATGTCTTTAGGCAATGGTTATGGTAAGTGCGGCTCAGCTATCCACCCTCTTTGAATAGTGTGATGCTTTGCTCTGTATCGCTACATAAGCTACAAATGACCTCCTATTATTCTAGTAGGTTCTATGACAATCTGGTAAAGAAAAAAAAGTTTAACAATAAACTAAACCAGACGTGATGGCTCATCCTTTTTTTTTTTTCTTCTTCTTTTCTATTCTATTTTATTTATTTTATTTTAATCACAGGTCATTCACTTGTATCCCAGCTGTAGCCCCCTCCCTCTTTCCCTTCCAGTCTCCCTCCCTCATCTCCTTCCTGCCCTCTTCCAAGTCCACTGATAGGGGAGATCCTCCTCCCCTTCCATCTGACCCTAGCCTATCAGTTATCTTCAGGACTGGCTACAATGTCCTTATCTGTGGCCTAGCAAGGCTGCTCCTCCATGTATCAAAGCAGATGCT